TCGCTCGGTGCGCCCCGCGGGCCCCCCCCCCCGCCCCGCTGGGCTGTGGCTCCGGAGAGCGGCGAGTGGCCCCGGCCCTGCGGGGAAGGGCGGGCCCGGGCGGTGCGCGGCGCTCTGAGCGTGAAGGGCTCGGGAAAACCTGGTTTTTGCCAGGAGCGGGGGGGGGAAAGAAGCTTATAAAAATGTTTTCATTGTTTCTTTGCGATTTCCTGCCCTGGTCTCGCCGCTCGCCTGAGCAGCCGCGGCCCCTGCCCTCTGCCAGCAGCACGGTGCTGTCTCCACACAGGCTGTCATTTGCCGGCTGCCCTGGAGCCGCCGGGTTTCTCTGGGGCTGTTAATTAGGATTGACCTTCACTGGGCGAGTTGTCAAAACAAAAGAAGTAACTGGAGAACTTTAAGGCGCTTTCTCAGTCCACGTGAAGCCCGTGCTTGGTGTTTATGCAACACATAATACATCTGTGCATGCTTAAGCAGGGATTAAGTGTGACAAGAATGAAACCTGTTTAAAGTGTTAGCCATTTCATATTAACTCTAGTCCTGTAATCTCCAGCAGCAGAATTCAAGGGGGTCCAGTGTTATGTTGCCTATGTGATGTGGGCTGCTCAGCATGCTGCCTCTGTAGGGTGACATGCACAGGATGACTGCACTGCTTGGCTTTTCAGTCACTTGTCATTTCTCAAAATTCTCTTGTCTGAACCTATTTTTTCCCCTTTCAAAAGCTGATCCTGGGATCAACGTGTTTTGCTGCATATTCATAAGCTGTTGCTACTGACCCTGTACCAGGTAACTTGCTCTATAGTTCATCAAAAATTCCTTTCCTGTTTCTTCAGCTGTCTCTGAGTTAATTGTTGTATGAAAAAAATGACATGAACTGTATGTTAAAATGTTTTAAGATGGTTCTGTAACCTAACCTGGAAGGGAGGAAAAACCTGCTTCAGAATGTTTCTGAAGGTGTTACAGCTGGCACTGAAATCTTAAAGTTTACTGAAATCTTGGCTTCTAATAGATATGTTTAACAATATACTCTTGATTATTGGCAGTTGAAGGAATGTTTTTGAGGTTGCAGTGTATCCACAGGGATCATTAGGGAGCAAGGACCAGTGTAAACTAGAGACTAGCTTTTTAGGAGTAACACTCCTAATTCCATAGCTTCCGTTAGAGGAATCTGCCTTGGCATTTGGTGAACTGGCTTTGGCTTCCACCTTCACATCTTTGACATCCTAATGCTTTTAATACTGTCCTCTCAGATTCCCATTCCCACCCATCTCCTGGTCACCATCCACGTGACCCCACGCAGCTCCAGGAAGGGGGTTTCCAATCCTCCGAAACCCTGGCTTTAATCAGCAGGAAGTTGAGGTGGGAGCTGCCCTGATTTTGGGTGCTCACGGGGATTGAGTTGTTGAAGCTTTTCCAGCTCCATCAGAGGCTTTGCCTTTTGAGCCTGTGGCTACAGAGCACCCAGATTTTTAAATTCCAGGTGCTAAGGAAGTTCATAACTTTCCCTTTCACAGTTTAGCTTTGTTACTGGTCTTGGAGATAAAGGTGCTTTTATGCTGTGATATCAGTGAGATGATAATACAGCATAACTGTCTTTTAGGCAGCATAATGTGCCTGACAGTGTCAGGCAGCAGCATTTTCACTAGTTACTGAACCTTTTCTTTCCCTTTTCTTCAGCCATGGCAGCTTCCAGCAGCAGCAGCAGCGAGGAGGAGCGGAGCCTTCGGGAATGTGAACTTTATGTCCAAAAACACAACATCCAGCAGCTGCTGAAGGATTGCATCGTACAGTTGTGCACAGTCAGACCTGAAAGGCCCATGGGATTCCTCAGGGAATACTTTGAAAGATTGGAGAAGGTAAAAAAACATATGGTGGGAGTGGAGCAACCTAAAGTTATGTTGTGTCTTTGTGATTTAGAGGCTGAGCTTCAGATTTGATCACTGTTAGTGGTAGTTATTCAGGCCTAGCTGGACTCAAAGGGTAGTATTTGCATTCCAGGAGAGCAGGGCCTGTTCCTGCCTTCTCTGGGGAGTTTGGTTTTGGTGTTTTGCTTTGTTGTTCCTCTTGTGTTTGTCCTCAAGGTCTTTTTGGTGTTTTTGTTGTTGGAAGCATTCTGGGATCTTGGGGATGGAAAGCATTTTGTCATCTCAGTGTTCATATTTGAAGGAGTGGTTTCACATTCTTTTGAACTATTTATTTTATGCATTTATGTCTACACAGATAGTAAGAGAAAATGGGAGGTCTTAAAGGCTAATGCAGAGGAGAAGTTAGATACATCAGCTCAGTTCAGGATGCACCATTAGGAAATAATGTAGCTGTGACCTTGTAGAGCAGTCATTTACTGGTGCTGCTTTCAGTGCTTGTTGTATATGGGAGATAGATCTTTTCTCTTTTAATTTGAGCTAGTTACTAATTGATGAAGTGAAGAAAAGATAAATTAACACTAGAGATCATAAATATGCATAGTGGAAATTGCATTTAATGGGAGTGTTCAAAGTGGATATGAGAAAATGACCAAATGCTGGAAACTAAGCTATAACTCACAGTGTATTTGAGGAACATTTTGCTTATTAAATGAGCAAGAACTCTGTAATATGTTTGACTTCTTGTGTGGTTGCATCTTGAGGGGATTCTCTTTGTCCTTCTCTGTTACCTGCCTCCTTCCTCACCTTGGATTCTTGAGTTTCTAAGTATTGATGACTTTTAAAATAGGACAAGTGTTGATATTCAAAACTTTGTAGAGTAAACTGTATTTCTGCACTTAGAATAAATTATAAACCAATCCATACGTAGGGATAGAAAATAGGAATAGCTGGATGCTTTCATGTAGTGGAACTTACGGTCAATGTCCAGTATTTAAGGCTAAAGGAAACTTCATTTGCTTTTAGTAAGGCAACCAGTCCAGCTCTGAACCTAATCACATCCTTTCTAGAGTGGAATAACTCTTGATAAGTTTATCCTGGAGCCAGTAGGCTGGCTGTGCACCCTGTCAGCCTACAAGGAAGGTGAAAATGGTTACCTAATGTTTTTCTCCTTAAATTACTCTTACAATTTTGGTCAGGGTCTTTTACTGTGGGTTATGTTGGCATGGGTTACATGTGCCCACTGGTGCAGCTGCAGCTACAAATCAAACTGTAGCATTTCTCCTCTTGCCCTCTTGAATTTATAAATTGCTCCAGCTTTTTCTCCAAGTCATTTCAGCATTCCCTTTAGTGGGTTGGTGTTTAACGTGGTACCTTAATAGCCCTTGAGTAACAGAACTGTGAACATCCTGTGCTGTTTCCTCTGACATCCCTGTCTGGGAAGCATAAAAGCTCAGTCCTGTTATTAACCAGCTCTGACCTGCTTCTTAATGTTTGAAAGGGAATTGGCTTCACCTGCCAGAAGTAACATCTGTTACATCTGCTGCAGCAGAGCAGCTTGTCACTATACTTTCTGAAGCTGTTCATGGGTTAGGCTGGATGAAATTGAGGTTGATATGCAGTTTTTTTGTTAGTTTTAAGATTGCTTTTTGAAGGAACACTGTGTAAACTGAAGCCAGTTTGGTATTTTCTCTCTCTTTACCCTGACAAGTCATCTCTTCTACAGTGCACACACTGAGCTGGTTCACTCTCATGTTAGTAAAATACATTGAAGATATTTAAACACACATTTCAATTTCTGTTCAGAAACATGAAAAATACTGCTTCTGAGATTGTTCTAGCTACTGTGGGAATGAAAATGTCCTCTTCTGAGTTACAGAAGCTATTACATTAATCAAATTACTGCACATTGGTTGTAGAAATGTGTTTATTTTATCTGTTTGTGGGGTACCAAGGCCTCTCCTCTTTTTGCTGTGCAAATATGTCTGGTAACACCAGTGCCTAATAAAAGCTGATGGCTCTCTGGTGCTGTAGTTGGCTGTGTAAGGGGTTTAAGCTATGGAAAATGAATGTGGGGAACATTTTTACAGCCTGTCAGATCAATCTTGGATATTGGACAAGGCTGCCCACTGGGATAAGTGCAGGTTTGACATACTGTGTGTAATGCAGTTATGTGCATATTGGGCTTTATAAAAGCTGGAGTTACGAAGTGTGATTGACATCTAGTCACTGTCCCTGTTCCCACCACCTGCCCTGCCTTCACAGAAACACACCTGGATATTGTCCTATCTTCTTAAGTGTTTCTTCTGCAAAACATGGTAGTCAGGGTGGATATACTCTGCAGTTGTGACTTTATGGCTTTTAATGCTGTTTTTTTAGCTTCTGAGTGTGTTGTGATTTTTTAATATGTGGAGAGCTGGTATAAATGAAATACTAATTAGCCAGAAGAAGCTGAGACTGTTTCTGGTGTAATGACAATTACCAGATGCCAGACTCTATAGTGTGTAGTACTATATTCTAAAATTGTGAAGGTCTTTCTCCAGAGTTGGTAGATTTAAATATGAATATATGAAATTTCATCACTTTAATATATATTACTTATAGTAATTTAAATTGACTTAACTATTTCTTGTCAAGAAAAATAAAATTTACATTTAGTGGTCACAGACACAGATAAGTCTTTGAACTGCTTCATCAGCTGAAAGTGTAGGATTGTTGAATCATGGAATGTTTTGGGCTGGAAGGGACCTTAAAGATCATCTAGATCTGACACCCCTGCATGGGCAGGGACACCTCCCACCAGCCCAGGTTGCTCCAAGCCCCATCCAACCTGCCCTTCCACACTGCCAGGGATGGGGCAGCCACAGCTTCCCTGGACAACCTGGGCCAGGGTCTCACCACCCTCACACACACCCTCAGACAAAAGAATTTCCTCCTGATGTCTAACCTAAATCTCCCCTCTTCTAGTTTTTATCCGTTACCCCATGTCCTGTCACTGCCCTCTCTGGTGAAAAGCCCCACTCCAGCTTTCCTGGAGCCCCTTCAGGCACTGGAAGGTGCTCTGAGGTCTCCCAGGAGCCTTCTCTTCTCCAGCCTGAACAGCCCCAACTCTCCCAGCCTGTCTCCAGAGCAATGCTGCTAGAGCTCTTGGATCATCTTTGTGGCCTCCTCTAGACTCTCTCCAGGAACTCCATGTCCCTCTTATATTGGGTTTTGCAGAACTGGACACAGACTCTAGGTGATGAACACTTGGATGTGATCAATAGCCTGTCTTTATGACTAATTTTTTTTAAATGCTGGTAATGGCTGCTGGGCCTTTACCTTGCAGAGACTGAGCAGTTTTTGGCACACAGCTCCCCAACTGAACACTGCTGAAGTGCTTCCGTCTCTGAAAGTTACAGGATCTCAATATTTTATAGTTTATGTGATGCTGGAAAAAATACATCAGCTGGTGTTCACTTATAAAAAAAAGAATCAAGTTTTTAATGGGTGAAGCGTTCTGTATACAAAGGAGCAGTGTGTTTCTGTGGCTGGTTGTGTGCCCACTGTGTAGAGAGGCAGTTTAAACCAAACACTCCTGCTCAGGCTATTTTTAACAGCTCCTCAGTTGAGACTTGTTTCTCTAAAATCAGGCATTAGGAACAAGGGTTTAAATAAACTTGACCACCATCATTTGGAAATGTAGCACTATTTTATCAATGGGCAAAAAGCAGGAAGTGAAAGGTAATTCGATGGGTCAGTGTTTGCTCTTTGGCTTCCTGAGAGGTGTAAAATGTGAACTCACTGTTCTGGTTATCTGAGGTCTCTCTCCTCAAAGCAGTGCTGCTACATGTAGCCTCTCTGCACCTCCGGAGTGGAGCACAACCAGCTGGGAGGGATGTGGTTTGATCAAGGACACTGAAACAAACCCAAAAGTGCTGGGAGCTCCCAGAGAGCAGATCACTGAATCACAGAATGATTAAGATTTGAAGGGACCTCAAAGATCATCATGTTCCAACCTCCCTGCTATGAGCAGGGACACCTCCTATTAGACCAGGCTGCACAAGCCTCATCCAACCTGGCCAAGGTTGGCTTTTTTTGTTTTGTTTTTAACTGGATTTGGTTGTGTACAGAGAAGAGTGAAATTTCTGTGTCAGGTTAATTAGGCTTCATTTTCTTGTGAGTAAGCTGGCCTTCTACAGTATCATTTCAACAGAGCACAGTAAGTAACTGAGGGAAATAAGGAAAATGTGTCAAGTTGTGCAAAAATTGGCAGATGTGTGGTTTGCAGAAGAAAGGTCTACTGTGTGGCCACTAGCATCCTTCCTTCAGCTCTTCTGTAAGCCCTGTTCATATTTCTTTCTCCTAAAATAACTGTTGGTTATTGAGTATCAAGTTGGTCCATGACTTGACCTTGTTTCAAAAGCTTCTCGTGTGACACACGGATTTGTGAGGAATTGCTCCTCTGTCTTTCAAATCAAAAAAGGCTTAACACCTTGTGTGAAGGCAGGAGATGCTGGGCTTACAGCTGGGAAAGTGGCTTTAGCATTTGAAGAATATCTTCATCACCTGTTGAATACACATGGGGAAAGGAGAGTCAGCTCTTTTATACTGCTTTAATTATGAAACTATGAGTGTAACTCACTAAAAGGAGCACCACTGTGATGTGAATGGAAGGCATATCTGAGATCTCTCTTGAAAGGCCTTTGATCTTGGTTGCTGCTGTCTCCTGTTTGCCTTAATGTCAGAGTAACAGGACACAGGAAGCTCCCTTGCACTGGCAGGCTCAACTGGGACACGTAACAGAGTTTGTTTTTTTTCCTGTGCTGGATTATGTGACACAAACATGTCTTCCTTCCTGTTTAGGAGGAAACAAAGCAGTTGTTGAACCAACAGAAGTCTGGCTCTCGCTCAGACTCCAGGGAGGATGAAATCTCTCCTCCTCCCCCCATGAACCCGGTGGTGAAGGGTCGAAGGAGACGTGGGGCCATCAGTGCTGAAGTCTATACAGAAGAGGATGCTGCATCTTATGTCAGAAAGGTGCCCTAACTTTTAAATGCTGCTAAAAATTGCATCTACAGTCCCGAGAGTTTATCTAAGATGACCTTCTACCCAGTGTATTAAATAACACTGAGTTCCTGTAGCCTGCTAAGTCTTGTGATAACTGTAAGAAGCAGACCTCTGGGTATACACAGTGGGAGGTTAGAATAAACTGCCATGCAATTAAACCACTTAAATAACTTAGACCTGTTCTCTTTGAAGCAGTATATACTTAGATGTACATATATTTATATATTATATATATAAACAAAGTGTTTCCAGTTATTTGACAGCTGCAACAACATATTTTAGCTCGATGGCAGAGCAGAGGTGCTGCAGTTCCTAGGAAAACACAATTTTTTCTGCTTTGAACAAGTACTTGTTCTCTTGCAAAAGAACTTAGAAACTTAGCATGCAACGATGCTTTTACAGTTGCGTACAATAATGCAAGATTTTATTTACCTTCTGCTGTAAACATTGACTCTGGTTTTAGATCTATAGTGCTTGAAAGAAACTGGAAAAAACCTCTCAGCTAGTGTTTTATTGCAATTTAAATATTTTTTTTTTACACTAGGGAATGCAGGAAATTTTCTTGAAAATAATTAGTTTTTCTGATTATATCCTAGGTTATTCCAAAAGATTACAAGACTATGGCAGCTTTGGCAAAAGCTATTGAGAAAAATGTGCTGTTTGCCCATCTTGATGATAATGAAAGAAGGTAGGAATCCATCTTTGTGTTGTTAAAGAAAGTTTCTTAAAGTGCAGGCTTCAGAAGAGCTAAGTGTGCCATGATGTACAAAGATGTCAGGCCTCTTCAAAACAGTCAGTGTGACCATACAGAGGTTGTAGGAAAAGTATTGGTGGATGGGAGGTTCAGAGAGGTGTGTGTGTAGTAGTTGTCCAAGCAGTTACCTAATTTTTGTCTCCTCTTTCCAGTGACATCTTTGATGCAATGTTCCCTGTCACTTACATTGCAGGAGAGACCGTTATACAGCAAGGCAAGTGACAGTGTTTACACTGATGAATAAGTTGGAGGTGGCAGCAGATTCTGGCCTAGTGCTCTTGTTGTTTTATTGTTGGTGGTTTTTTTTTTTGTTGTTGTTTTGTTTGTTTGTTTGTTTTTACGTACAACATTGTCTGGATGCAGGGACCCTTTCTTGTTACGTTACCTGGAGCACAGCTCACACTAGGCTGAGGAGTGGAGCAGTTGTGGTTTCAGTGCATATATTACCTATTGGAGAAGCATCATTTGATGGCTCTGTAGAAGATATGTCAGTTTATGGATACAGTATTGATTTTCAGTAATCCTGGAAATGCTGCTTATCTCCTGCATACCTGTAGGTGTCCTCTTTCACGGGACTGAGAGGAGTGTGAAATCAGCAAAACATGACATTTCCACGTGTGCAGATTTTGCCTCTGCCAACCTTTCTAGATTGTAAAGATCAAAGCTGGTGGAGATGCCAGTTCTGTGAGTCATGAATGCTTGCACAGCTTTACTCTCCTTGTGTGTATTCACTTTTTTTCTTCTTCTTTAGGTGATGAAGGTGATAACTTCTACGTTGTTGATCAAGGAGAAATGGATGTAAGCATTAGTGGTAGTTGGTTAGTGACATGTTGGTCCCTAGTAGAAGAATAGCCTGATATTTGTAGGTCTCTCTTGCAGGTCCTTCCTTTAGCAGTTTTTCCTATAATCAGATCTTACTTGTAGAAATTTATTCTGCATTGAAGCTTCTTTGTTCTTTAAGAGCTTGGTCTGGCTGCACAGACACTGAGTTGTGTTGAGTTTCAAACCGAATGATTCAGACACCAACACAATACTAATGCTTTACAAGTGCAGGGTGGAGCTCAGCTGAGATGTGGGACAGGCCTGAAGAG